GCTAAAAGACGAGCAGCCTGCAAATCAAATTGTGTGTCAATTTCTAAACTTCTATTCATTGGTATGACAACTACTCCTAACCTAAAAATTAAATTGTTTTCAGTTAAAAATAAATAAGTTATTGTAAAGAAAAATTCCAAAATWTAAAATACTTACTTCCCTCCCTGGAGCTTATTATTTACAATAAGGTTCTTATGTGCAAAATAAAACATGCCATTTTCAACATATTCTCCATCCCAGTCTTGTCTTCTTGGTCTTTTAGTAGCATCAAAGTTTGATGGCTGCAGCTGACCATCTTATTAATTATCACAAATTTATAAATTTTAATTAATTTAACATTAAAATTTTTAAGACAAATCAATAATAATATTATACCAGAATCCAGTTTCCAACGTAGTTTATGGCTTCGTGTTACTGAAAACACAGATTCAAATTTCTGATTAACTGCCATTTTATATGCTCTAGTCAAATACTCAGCAGTCATAAAAGGTGAGGTACACTGAATGATGGCAAAAATATCCACTTTTTGATGGTACATACTAAACTCTTTTACAGCACTAAGTGATGTTGCTTCATCTGAAGCTGTTTCTGCACTACGGTGAAATACTTTAGCACCTGCTAATTCAGCTTCAGTAGCAATTTCTTTATCATCTGTTGATACCCATATATCATGAAACACTAAAATAAAAAATAAATCATGATACAGAAGTTCTCTGGAGAAACATGGTGGATGTTTTTAATTTGAAAGTAATTTTAAATCTAATTGCCTAAATAAACCATTTTGATCGTAGCTCAAAGCCAAAGGTAAGTTTACCCTAAAGCCAGAAATAGTTAATAGATTTGTTGAAAATAGGTATAACTACCATACCTTACAACACAATTATTTATCTTCACAGTCGTTATAGAAAAGTATGAAATTCAAAACTATTGTTTATAATGAATAATTTGCAAGCAATAGCCAATCAATACAGGTACTTTCAAGTATTTTTATTTTACTTATAAAGATACCATAMAAATGGTAACAAATTAAATATTTATAGTTCCACTTAACAAAATAATTAATAATCATATTTATCATACATCCACAATCATTAATCGTGTCTAAAGATCTTCGGAGGAGAGTAGTGTTTTGTATAATAGCTAAATTTTTYCTGGGTATTCCTTTACTACCACCCCGAGCCAATATTAAAGCTACCACATGAGGCCTGCAACATAAAATATAGTTGGTATAAAATTTAAATAACAATTATTAAAAATATTTTCTTATATGTCAGTACTCACTTATAATTAGATAAATGATTTTGTTCATAAGTAATGTGACTCCAGAGTAGATAAATTGGAATCATAAACAAAATAACACTTGCAGATAAAACTAATAATTGAGAAAAAAGTGCAACCCAATGACTGTTTCTAACAGTCATGATTTCCAAAAACAATTATAATTTAATTATACCTTATTAATAATATAAACATAATTCATACTATTRTTTTTTTTTTAATAAGCCGTCTATTAAACTGATAGATTGCACTGTGAATCTGTGCTAAACTATTTAGTAGTTATTTTATCATCTCCCTCATTGCAGCAAGCGGCTAGGTATTGACCCAGAATAGGGTGCTTCAGGGTTGCTATGGAAACATCAGGGTGAGCAATATAGCAGAAAAAATGACATTTTTTTTTTTAAAAAATGGTTACAAATTGTATTATAATAAAATTGATGTTTACAAAGTATATGGGTTATATAAAATTTGTTTTTAAATACAAATCATGTTTTAAAAACTATTAATATTAAACCTWTAGTACAAACCATCACCTTTWACATTTTTGACGAAAAATGTTTTAGTTAATAAGCTTTATATAGTATTTTATTTATCCTAGTTTAAGGGCCGGATAGATTTATCTAAGATATACAATTAAGTGAATGTTTCAAGCAATTACAAGGTAATTCATACATATAAAAATTAACAAATAAAAGACGTAATATAAATTAATCAATATAAAAATCATGTAAAAATATATATTAATATAATATTA